GCAATAAATACCTCTTATCCTCACACCATCTCTCGTGTCAACACTTTCCAACCACGCCGACTGGTAAAATCATTTATATTCTGTAATTCAGCTTCAGTCGATCTAATATGAGTCTGTATTTGTAAGAGTTATAGAGAAGGACAGAGATTTTTAGTTTTTCCAAAACTGGCAAAATATTGAAACAGTTTTAAGGAAGTGAAATCAAACTTTAAAAAATAAAGATTCAATTTGAGAAACCAAGCTGTAAATATAGTGTGGTCAAAACAAGAAAAGGTTATTTGTGTATATTTTCTTCTTGAAGGAATTTTTCTTCAGAAAGAAAATTTGGAAATAAACATGTTGTCTGCTAAAGCTTTAGTTTAATAGATGTTTTTTTTTAACAAATACAGAAATGTGTCTTTCCTAAAGAAAATCAAATGCTGGAGTTCATTCTCTACAAATAATATTTGCATGTGTGAATGATGCTCTTGAATCAGATGTACACCAGTAAGAAAGTGAGATTTAAACATGGACGCCCCTCACTTTGCTATAAGTCCTATTATTATAGGATGTATTTGGTCAATAATAAAAAAAATATTGTGAGGCATCTGTTTGATCTTTTATGTGTATTTACATGAACCTCTTCCTCGGCTTATCTCTGTCATATCCTTTTTTTTCTGTCTGTGATGTTATTGCTTGTCAGAGACACCAAAAACAGTCATTAAAGAACTGATATCAGTAGTAATTGTTCTGTTCCTTTGAATATTTTAATAACCAAACATGGAAAACGCTGACACACAAGAACAATAACACTCCTGTGTGGTTTAGCTCCTGTCTTCAGATCACATTATATTTTTGTCCAATAGTTTTTCTAGGTACCATAATTTCTGGACTATAAGCCGCTACTTTTTTCACAGGCTTTGAACCCCGCGGCTTATACAATGCTGCGGCTAATATATGGATTTTTGGGTTTTTTTGACGGGCTAACGAGCTTCCTGCCACAAAACATTTAGCCTCATCACACCCCGACGCTCACATATCTTCCCAATACACATCTCTCCTGGGGGGTGGGTCCTTGTGACTCAATGAGACTACCTGTATAAATAAAGATTAAAAAATATCTGACTGATGAAATAACCAAACAGGTCACAGTGGACCAATGAAACAAGGAGTGGAGGAGAGAACGGGGAGGTGGAACTTAGGGGCACAACAAATTATTCTCAGCCACTTGATATCCATGTGAATCGTGTATTAACGTGACACTCGAAGCTCGTTGGTGGGCTTTGCTGACTGGTGGCAAGAAATCTTTTACCAAAACTGGCAGCATGCAAAGAGCAACTTCTGCTCCAGTCTGCCAGTGGTTGCTGACAGAGGAGCAGTTTAAACAAAAAAAGAATCCTCTGCAGGAGGAAGATGAAAATAGCGATCAATGACTTTCTGGTAGGCTACTGTATTTTTTAAACCAGCCTTATTACGGCACTGTTAAAAAAAAAAAAAACATTTACTGTACGTATTTGTGTATGTTACCAATACCTATTTAATCAAAAGTTTAAAAAAATCTTATATATGTACAAAATTATTATTATTGTTTAAATTTAGTGGGCGTGGCTTATATTTTGGTGCACTCAATAGTCCAAAAATTACAGTAAATATGTCAGATGGTAATAAATTTAGTGTTGCAATGTAGCATCAAATAATAGGTAAAACAAACCAGAAAATCAACAGTTTTTTGTAGAGATAAAGAGTAAATGGGTTATGTTTCCAAAAAACATGCATTTGGATAAGAGCATTATTTTGGATCAGTTGCATGACTGGGTGCTGACATTAGCAGGTAAATGTTTGCATAATGGATGCAGATGCACCTAATCCAATCAAGGAGCCTTTTACAGAAACCAAGCCATTAGACTATGGGGACAGATTAAAGTAAAAATCACAGTTTAACCAGCCAAATGCTGCTGCATCGCAAAATGTCCGGCAGCTTTTAAGAAGACCTCTGAGTGGAAAACCCAACGCCAGCCAAGAATGAAATGTTAAAACAGGAAACATGACAGTGCCAAAATAAAAAAGACCAACCAGTTATAGACTTACCTAACCTGATCTTAAAAGAGTTTCTTTCTTAGGAGTTCACGTTACACGTTAGATGCACCGTTTGTTGTTTCTTTGGCCGATTCCTATTATTATAAAAGCTTTTCATTTTGGTTGATTCTGATTTCATTCTAAGAACTGAAAGAAAGAAAAATGAAATTTCTAGCTTTTGTTTGATTGGGAAATTTGATGATGCTTAAATTTGAACAGTTACAATAAACATATTTTTTTTCCCAAATGTACTGTTGTTTGCTGGGAAATCCATGATCTTTATCCGTTTCTTCCTTTCTGGATCACGGGGGTCACTGGTGCCGATATCCAGCTATCACTGTGTGAGAGGCGGGGGACACCCTGGACAGGTCTCCAGTCCATCACAGAGACGCATAGAGACAAACGAGACACACAACCATTTGCTCTCTCACTCGGGACAATTTAGAGTCACCAACCAGTGAACGTGAACTCCACCCAGAAAGGTTCCAAATTAAAATTAAACTAAATAGTTAGATTACTAGACAGAGGTATTTGCATTAATAAAATTTACTTGTTAAATAATTAGACTATTTGCTCTTTATAAATAGGAATACAGTAATCTTGCTTATGGTACCATAACATACCATACCATACCATACCACTTTATTTATAAAGCACTTAAAACAGCAAGGCCAGCCAAAGTGCTGTACAGCAGAAACAAAACAAGCAAAGAACACAGCATAAATACATAGATCCAAATAGGTAAAGATAAGAAAGTAAATGACTAACATTATAGAAAACAGATGTTAAAATCAACTCACACAGTGTCAAAAGCCAGGAAATAAAAGTGAGTTTTCAAACGAGACTTAAAAACGGTGAGAGATGGAGCAAGCCTGACATGTAGTGGTAACTCATTCCACAGTCTTGGACCTGCAACAGAGAAGGTTCTTTCACCTCTGAGCTTAAAACGAGTTCCTGGAACCAATAAAAACATCTGATCTGCTGACCTCGGAAAGCGCTGTGAGACATATGGCTGCAGCAGATCAGTGAGATAAGAGGGGGCAAAACTGTTCAGAGATTTAAAAACATACAGAAGGATTTTAAAATGAATTTGTAAATGAACAGGGAGCCAGTGAAGGGAGGCCAGAACTGGAGTAATGTGCTCGCTTTTTCCTGTACCAGTTAAAAATCAGGCTGCAGTATTTGAAACAGACTTACTTATAATTTTAAACAGACTTATAAAAGTGCACCATATAATGAAACACTTTGTCTGGAAGGCCTCAATACAAATAATTTGGAACCACGTTTAAATTAATATTTGCAAGAAATAAAAACATTGATCTATTGATTTTTGTCTGTTGATCAACACATTCACAAACTCAGACGTGACTGAGGCTCTTTATTTGATAACTACTAAATAAACGTGTTGCTTAAATGCTTAAAGGAATGTGGATCGCCTGCTGTTCGTACGTGCCTTAAACAAAGTTCTGGTGCGATCTGTTAGTCCTGGAAACATGTGTTGAGGAGGAGTCTCAGCTACGACCGCTTCATATTTTAGGTTAATATCTGTAAACCTGACTGAGTTATAGCCATTTTTGTGTTTGCTAATGTTGATTAGCAGTGGCGACCATCTTGAGTCAGATTGATTCTAAAGGTTTCAGTCAGACAGTCTGTGATTATGTTCCGAGTTTCAATAAAAATATTTTCGTGCTTCCTGAGATATTTTGCTAATAGACAGATGACAGCCACAGGATCATGTAATTTCCTGTGTTCAGTCATGGCGGCAGGTGACAAAACTGCATCTCACGTTCTATGTAACGTTTATGGCAAGTTGCAGGAATGTGTTTCCACTTTACTTTTATGTTTTCCTACATTATATGTTAGAAACTAAAGGTCAGAGCTGAGCTCCCTCTCTCCTTCACCTGGAATGGGTGGGTGTGCAGTGTCCATCTGTTGTAAACCCTCCCACATGTCATGTTTTCCCTCCTTCTCCCGCCTTCGGCTCTTGCCAAGAAAACACCCACGCCGCCCACATCCAGATGAAACTCAGCGCCTCGTCTCCATGGATATGCAGACCCGCCGTCAAAAATAAAATCCACTTAACTCTCTCTTTGCTGTGAGAAGCTGGGTGGAGTGGTGTGTGCACTCCTCTGCTCCAGCCGCTGTCCGCTGACTCAATCTAGATGACTCAAATCTAGTACTAAAATATTGACTCTGCTGCTACTAGGCTTAAAGAAAACCATCATATCCCAGTTGAGGTCTACTGTAAAGCAATGAAAACAGAACGAGTTTGACCGGTGAAAAGCATCTCAATCAAAGCTGAAGCCACTCGTACGACTGGTCCGCTGATTGATAAAGAAGGAGTGAGATGACACTCCACTCGTCTCCTCATGCCCTGTGGTATAGATCGTGTCTGTGTTCAAGCGATGCAGTTTGAAGAGAAGCAGGTCAGCAGATGCTACACCAGTATTAACTTCTTAATGAAATGCATTGCCATAGCAACAGTAGAAAGGTAGTTTTGTTGGAAAGAACTTGAAGCCTCCTCATAGTGGGATGTGAAAGGGACATTAAAACACAGCAGGTGGCCCTTTGTGTTTCCCTTCAAGGTTGTTTGGTTTGTTCCTAATGCACCGGTGCTCGTCACATAATGTGTGCCTTGTTGTAACTGAGGATGATAGAAGTTGTATTCATTGAATGAATGAATGCACATCACCCACTGCCTTTAATGCCAGAGTATCAAAACTAAGAAAATGTCATAAAAAGAAACAAAATTATAGCCGTTTTAGTCAACCCTTGTAAATCGCATGCACTGCTTCATTCTGACTCGGACTAGATATTTTGCTAACACTGCAGACAAGCATTCAGACACAGGCAAATATTATAGCTATTCAGATATTTTTCAGAGAGACAAATCCTAGAAGATGCTGAACTGTCTGCCTGTCCTTCGTTGTCTCGCTCTGTGTAAGGACAAACTTGGAGGCTCTGCAGAAGAAGCTGGAGGAGCTGGAGTTGGACGAGCAGCAGCGAAAACGTCTGGAGGCCTTTCTGACGCAGAAGCAGAAGGTGGGGGAGCTGAAGGACGACGATTTCGAGAAGATCTGTGAGCTCGGTGCGGGCAACGGAGGCGTCGTCTTCAAGGTCTCACATCGACCCTCCGGTCTGATTATGGCGAGGAAGGTTAGTGTTTATATGCTCTTCCTGTTGTTTCTTTGAAGCTTTTATTTAAAGAACAATAAAAGGAAGAACAAGTTACTCCAGTTTAATAATTTTTCTGCCGTCACAGAATATTACCTAAGTGTGCCTCAGGAATGTAAATTGTATGCACCTTTATGCATCTTCCTAAAATTATTTTTTTTATCCTTTGCTGTAGATGAACACATCTGCGTGGCTTTATAGAAAACTGTATAGAGGTTATCTCCTAGCTTCATGTTCAGCTGTTTGTCCTTGAGCGAGTTTGTTGGCCAATTAAAAACAGGGATACCATGGACCTTAAACCAGGTACTGGTAGCTTTGGCACTGTGTGCAGGTGCCAAGTCTTGTTGGAAAATGAAATCTGCATCTCCATAAAGTTGGTCAGCAGCAGGAAGCATGAAGTCTCTAAAACTTCCTGGTAGACGGCTGCGTTGACCTTGGACCTCAGAAAACACAGTGGACCAACACCAGCAGATGACATGGCACCCCAAACCATCACTGACTGTGGAAACTTGACACTGGACCTCAAGCAACGTGGATTCTGTGCCTCTCCTCTCTTCCTCCAGACTCTGGGACCTTGATTTTCAAAGGAAATGCAAAATTTATTTTCATCAGAGAACATAACTTTGGACCACTCAGCAGCAGTCCCAGGTGAGACCCTTCTGACGCTGTCTCTTGTTCAAGAGTGGCTTGACACAAGGAATGCGACAGCTGAAACCCATGACTTGCATACGTCGTGGCGTGGTGGTTCTTGAAGCACTGACTCCAGCTGCAGTCCACTCTTTGTGAATCTCCCCCACATTTTGGAGTTGTTGTTTTTTTTTTCACAATCCTCTCCAGGGTGTGGTTATCCCTACTGCTTGTACACATTTTTTAACCACATCGTTTACTTCACTTCATCTATCTATTAATGTGCTTGGACACAGAGCTCTGTGAACAGCCAGCCTCTTTAGCAATGACGTTTTGTGTCTTGCCGTCCTTGTGCAAGGTGTCAATGGTTGTATTTTGGACAATTGTCTAGTCAGCAGTCTTCCCCATGATTGTGTAGCCTGCAACTAGACTGAGAGACCATTTAAAGGCCTTTGCAGGTGTTTTGAGTTAATTAGCTGTGTCTTCAATATTGAACCTTTTCACAATATTTTAATTTTCTGAAATACTGAATTTGGGATTTTCATTAGTTGTCAGTTACAATCATCAACATTAAAAGAAATAAACATTTGAAATATATCAGTCTGTGTGTAATGAATGAATATAATATGCAAGTTTCACTTTTTGAATGGAATTACTGAAATAAATCAACTTTGTTGTGATATTCTAATTTCATGACCAGCACCTGTAAATGTTATGTATAAATATTGCCCATTTTGAGGACAAAAGGGCTTTAATGTTTTTGTCAGTGTTAGTGTGTCTGTCTGTTAGCATAATATTTTATGAACCAAAGGATGGATTTGAATTAAGCTTTTAGAAAGTAATTATTGAATGTACTCTGCAATTAATTAATTTTTAAATCAACCTCATTTATTTCAGATGGCTGCCACAGGAAAGCAACCTTAATAAATGCAAAAATAGCTACAACCCAACGCCCGTTTTACAGATACTGAGCTAAATTTTGGCATGGTAGTAGCCGACAGTCATTCACAACGTATACTGAAGTGCAGCTCTTGTAAAATCACGCTAAATATTATTTACAAGTCATTTCTCATCACAAGAAGATCTTAGATTTAAAACTCTAACATGAAGAGCAGCAGGTGATATGCATGCTTTCAAAGAATGCCAACATGCAAAGATTTTAGTTTGTCATTCAACAGAGTTGTTTTATCCATGAAAGATGAAAACGTTGAGGTTTGCTGTGTTCCAGCTAATCCACCTGGAGATTAAACCAGCCATCAGGAACCAGATCATCCGTGAGCTGCAGGTGCTACATGAGTGTAACTCTCCATACATTGTGGGCTTCTATGGTGCCTTCTACAGCGATGGGGAAATCAGCATCTGCATGGAGCATATGGTACACGTCTTTATTTCACCTTGTACTGTGTAAAGTTATTTCTGCTACAGTAGTTAACATTGTTTCCCCCCCACGCCTACACTACATGTCCAATCTTGCTACTATTAAAGTGCTCCACATGTATTTTTGCTTATAGGATGGAGGATCTCTGGACCAGTCGCTGAAGAAAGCAGGAAAGATCCCAGAGCAGATTCTTGGCAAAGTCAGCATTGCTGTGGGTAGTTCCAACACCTTTCCCACCAAACTCATGTCCCGGCACGACTCTACATGTATATTTAAAAATATTAACACACGGTTTTCACTGATTGGTAAAAAATGTTTTGTAATATCAAACATTTCTTTTACAGGTCATTAAAGGACTTTCCTACCTGCGGGAGAAGCACAAGATCATGCATAGAGGTTGGTCTTTCTTCAGTCTACTGTTGGGGAATATTATCTTGCAGCTGGCACTCCAAGGACATCTGCACGCTGAACTCGGCTGAACTGATAAGAGTATAAAAATGAGCGGACAATGCAGCACACGGCAGATTCTTGTGACTTGTCTTCATGTGTGTGCTTTCTGTATACAGTAGTCCCTCGATTATCGTGGGGTTTACACATCCCTGCGATAAGATGAAAAACCATGGAGTAGGAACGCTATATTTGAGTATTTTTATGTATTTTTCAAGGCTTTATAAACCCTTCCTACACTCTTGCAATGTTCTAAACTCTTACATGTACTGTACAGCAAAATTTTACTCCCCAGCTCTGCACACCAGCAGCTCGGTTCAGTCGATCTCGATTCCGGATCTGCAGATCTACCCTGCAGCGGTGAAGCCCACCGCCTCGTCCAGGTTGATGTGCGTGTGGAAAATCAAGCCTCAGGATTATTTGCGACTTTCCTGTCAGTTCTGTGAGCTTAATAGTGTAGATTTGCGTTGCAAAACAATCCCTCCATTTCGGCAGAAAGCTGCGGCCGGAAGCACTGTTGGCTTCTGGGTAGTGTAGTTCTTTTGACTGGCGTTCCAGTGAAGAAAACTACAAAATGGCAGCGTCTGTTCAAAGTTTTTTTTTTGTTAACTTTTTGTCTCGTACCGTCTCAATCACATGAGTAATATTAAAATTGACAATTGTTGAAAAAATGCGAAAGAGCCAGTCCGTGAAAGTTGGAACAGCAAAGTAGTGAGGGACTACTGTATTTATGTAACCTGTCCTGAAAATCCGACCTTGCTATAGCGGTTTAAAATCTTCCCCTTCTGTTGAGTGTGGTTCCTTTTGAGCAAGTAAAATAAAGTGAGAACATTCTTCTCCAACATCTTCCACCTATTTTGCAAACCAGCTATGAAAACAAGTATGAAGACATCAAATGTTAAAAATGTAAATATCTTTTGGAAAAGCTGGAGCCCATTTTGAATTTGAAGTCAGCAACATATTTGAACATGGATGAGCCAATAAGACAGTTGTTTAGTATTACTTTAAAAAATAAAAAAAACAAATAACTAATCTATTTGGCAACAGGTCAGAAAGATGACGGCGAATGAGTCACTGGACTCCCACATTTCCTCTAAAATACTCACTGTTGTGGGATAGTCCAGAAAAAAGGCTGCATAGGTGGAGTGCAAGAATATGAAGTGTTTGAAAGTGAAACACACCAACAATGGTTTTGTAAGAACCTCCAAAAATTTCCCCTCAAATGTCCCCCTGGGATTAATAAAGTATCTACAAGTGAAGATTCTTATCATTTTGATGAAAATTGCTCCACATCACTTTCTAAAACTTTTGCAGATCTGGGACTTCTACACTTAATTTTTATGTAAAAGTACTTCAAGACTGTATTTGTTATGTGCAAGGAGTGAACTTATACAGAACGATTATGGAGACACGTGCTTCATAGGACTAGGCTTCAGAAACATCTTAATGCGTTTCATTAGTTATAAATTATTCAAATGGATGAGAATCCTGAAGGAATATCTTTAGAGCTGCTTAGTGTCAGTTGACCATTTGTTTCCTGTGTTTTCCTGAACTCTGCATGTTTCTCGTTCAGACGTCAAGCCCTCAAACATCTTAGTGAACTCCCGCGGTGAGATCAAGCTGTGTGACTTTGGAGTAAGCGGACAGCTCATAGACTCCATGGCCAACTCCTTTGTGGGCACTCGCTCTTACATGTCGGTGAGTCAAGAACAAAAATAAGGTTTCATAATGACGCAACAATTAAAGCCAGATTACTTTCGCAAAACAACTAAATTCCTTTTGTCTCGACAGTGGCGCCACCAGAAACCTTCGGGGTGGCCACGAAAACCAAAAGCCAGAATAGAATTTCAGACTTGTTATTTTGTCATACTTTTCTTTTTTTTACAATTACAGCAATATGGGAGTTAGGGAATCTCTGATAAGTTTTTTTTTTTTTTATCTACATAATTACTGATTGAGGAAAGCTTTGGCACTATTCAATTTAATAAAGCTCTTATAAAAAAATATTTTGCATAGAACCACCCGAGACCCTGCATTCTGTTTAGGCCATTGATTTTTGACTGTATTTACATTATTATTATTCAGGGGGACTAGAAGTTTTATTTTTAATGTATACTGTATTTTCCGGCCTATAAGTCACATCTGTCCAAAAATGTCAAATAATTTGGAAAAATCCATAAATAAATCGCTTCGCCGTGTGTCGCACCGATTAAGCGTCACTGTCGACAACCAGAAAATGTGGGCCGGTGTTGTACCAAAAATCGATTGGCCGTCAAATAGTGATCGCGGGAGAGTGCATGGGAGGACTTCAACAAAATTATAGCAAAGGTGTGTTAGTTTAACCTTTCCTTAATAAATACACTTTAATGGTCAAATCAGCTATTTTGCCGGAGCGGCGCAGTGAAATGAAGCTGATTTGACGGTTGCTCCAGGCGAGCAGAAGGTTGTATGGCCAGCCGATTGTGTTTATAGCTATTTTTCCCTATTACATGACACAACGGCATGCTATACACTTGAGTGCCATCTAGCGGCTGAAAATTGTAGTGTTTCAATATTTTTAGTCAGAATTAATGAAAATGATAGTATCTCAGACTAAAAATTGGTTTATAAATATGGGGAAAATCCACAAGTCACTTCGGCATACAAGTTGCAGGACATGCAAATTAGGCAAAAATGTGCAACTTACAGGCCGGAAAATATGGTATACATACATATTTGAATATTTTCTTTTGGCTGTCTCCCTCTTCAGGGGTCGCCACAACAAGCACTCGTATGAAGACTGGTCCTCCTTGAGGACCATTTAAACTGATTCAGAAAACTTCTGTTGTAACGTTTAACGTTTGTTCTGCAGCCGGAGCGCCTACAGGGCACCCATTACTCTGTTCAGTCAGACATCTGGAGTATGGGTTTGTCTCTAGTGGAAATGGCCATCGGACGCTTCCCTATCCCCCCACCCAATTCCAAGGAGTTAGAGCAGATTTTTGGTTTCCCAGTGGAAGGAGAGGCAGCCTTCAGCGAGTCCTTCCCAAACCCGCAGCCACCTGGGCGACCTGGCAGCTGTAAGTTTGATAGCTCTGGTTGATCCTGCAGAATATTTTTAGTACAGTCAGATACTTTTATTTTTGTCGTTTCACTCCCAGCGTATGGCTCAGACAGCAGACCCCCAATGGCCATTTTTGAGCTACTTGATTACATCGTCAATGAGGTGAGTTACTCACAATACATACGTTTGTCTTTTCTACACTGTACCTTTATTTGCAACTTTTCTTATTTTCCCCCAGCCTCCACCAAAACTCCCTGGGATATTCAGCTCAGAATTCCAAGACTTCGTTAATAAATGGTAAGGAATATTTTTTATTTAAAACTTGTACTTAATACTTCACTGACGGTTCTTCACCTTTACATTTTTCTTTATGACAGCTTGATTAAGAATCCTGCAGAGAGGGCAGATTTGAAGCAGTTGATGGTAAGTGTGAATTCATAGTTTTGTATCATCTAAACTCTGAAACATATTGAGCTATGATAAAACTTGTTTCAGGTGCATCCTTTCATCAAAACGTCAGAAGCAGAGGAGGTGGACTTTGCTGGCTGGCTGTGCAGCACCATTGGACTCAGTCAGCCTGCGACGCCCACCCATGGGACAGCAATGTGAGACCTGCTCTCACTGACAACAAAGCCATAAATACAAGTCTTTGAGATATTTGTACTATTGGATCATTTTCCAAGGAAGCAACAAGTTTCAAAATTATGAATAGTATATTTGAAGAACTAACTTAAAGGCTAAGTGAAATTATGTATTGAACATTTGTGGGCTACCTTGCAGGCCTGCATGAAAAGCCATCTTTTTCTAAGAATTCAAATTCTTTCAAATGTGCTGCTAAAGACTCTGTGCTTGATATTCCTCTTTACCCTCCCCAGACACCGCAGATTGTGTAATATTTGTAAGCTTATGTGAAATTATTCTCATCAATTAAAAGTTTTGAATAACACCTCTGACTCGTACTTTTCAAACAACTGATTTATTTACTGAACTGCAGTCTCTTTAGATTTAAGCCTTGGGTTTAGCAGGTGCTCCTTTCTTTCCATGCCTCTTCTTGGGCTTTAGCATCTTAGCCTTGATCTGTAAACAGAATCAAACTCAATAACCATCAAGTTTTATTTCCATCTCAACGTTTTCTAACTACAAACGACTTACAGTAGGGTCGTGCCGCAGGATAGCGTGACGCCTTGCCGTCTTGGCATAAGGGTTCAGTTTGAGCATTATCTTCAGATTCTTCAGAGGATTCTTCTTCAGGACTCTGCGGTTGATCTTTTTGCTGTAATTAGAAGAAAAACCAGACTTTATGTAAACGACCACTAAAACCGTTTTAGAAGAAGTTGGTTTTTGCATTGCTCAGAACTTCTATACCGATCAGGATTCAGAAACACGGACCGAAGCATAATATCATCATAGCCACGAGAAGTTAATGAACAGCTAATAAACTTAGTACGTACATGGGTGCACGTAGAGCTCTCTGGACCTCCTCACTCTTCAGAATCCTGCTCAGGTCTGTGTTTGTCATCTTGTGCATGGGAAGGCTGAAAACAAGCATCAATAGGTTTAAATTTACATCAGACAGAAACAACAACGTCACCACTTTAGTTTAGTTTTAACTCAGAACTTCATCAAATATCACAGAGTTCAGAAACACGGACCATGAAGTGGAAGCTCATCACTGATGTACACGTACAACATAACAGGACGCTGTGCTTCGTGCTACACGTCACACGCTGCTTAAAGACTCACTTGTAGTCGACCTTCAGGGTGGAAGGTTTGCGCCAGGTGCCGTACAGGTCGTCCAGCTTACGGAAAGCGCTTTCGGTCCAGATGCAGAATCGTCCAACGTGACCACCAGGAGCAAGCCTCAGGAGGTTCAGTTTGTTCACGTTCTGCAGAGTGATGCCTGCATGATGCAGCACAATTCAGTTTATTTATACAACTCCAAGTCACAACAGAAGTTATCTGAGGGCACTGAACAAATGCATCAACAACTGAACACTAGCAAACCAAGAAAGTCAAAACATGTTCCTTAGTTCACCACTGATATAAACACCACCAGGTACGACTAGAACGTTTCCTGAGCACAGTCATTTTATACGACTTATGGAGCTCACCTGGAATATTTCTGAAGGCTTTGGTTAAACCAGTGTCTTGGTTGTAGATGATGCATGGCCCTTTACGCTGGATTCGTCTACGATTTCTCATTTTACCCTTACCAGCACGCATGCGCTGAGAGGCGTAGACCTGAAAACAATTTATGGAAGGCATTCACATTTATAGTATATTTAGTGAACAAACTTAAAAAGCCAATTTAAATCATGTACAGTAGTCCCTCGTTACTTCGCAGGTCGACTTTCATGGTTTTTCAACAATTGTCAACTTTAATATTACTCACGTGATTGGGATGGGAGGTTTTAAAAAAAGTTAACGAAAATAAAAACTTCAGACAGGTGCCGCCATTTTGTAGTCCCCCCCCCCCCAAATAAGTCTACACTGTAACACCAGTCAGAAGAACTACACTACCCAGAAGTCAACAGTACTTCAGGCTGCTGCTTTCTGCTGAAATTGAAGTTTAGCAACACAAATCTACTTTATCTTTAAGCTCACTGAAGAGGCAGGAAAGTCGTAAATAATCCTGAAGTTTAATTATGCACATCAACCTGGACGGGGCGGTGGGTTTCAAAGCTGCAGGGTTGGTCTGCAGAAAGTGAACAGAGCTGCCGGTCTGCAGAGCTGGTGAGTAAAATGTTGCTGTACAGTAGGGGTTGAACGAGTATATAATTTTTAAACTCGACATTAACATAATAAAACCCGAGTAGAACTCAAGTATTTCCAAAAAAGTTCAATCTGGTCCTCTGGACATTCAAAAAAACAAAAGCAAAACAAAGCAAAAAAAAATTCTAGAAACGTTTCGTCTCTCATCCGAGAGACTTCTTCAGTCTGAGGTGCTGTATTCAGGTCAGTCTCTTAAATAGCACCTTCTTAGAGTGGATCAACCAGTTTGCTGCTGACAACCAAAACCAGCTGATCACATGCTCAAGAAGGACCATCAGCCTAACAATGGATCATTAGCACACTGATGGCTGTTTACTATTCACAGAGGGCTGAGTGATACTAGCAATCACAGCATTGTAAGAGGGGGACAGTTGAACCCGGAGGCCTCCACCCCTGTTTAATGATGGACGATTTCTTTTCAAAGATGGCCTCCTTTACTCCTCTCTCAAACCATCGTTCCTCTCTGTCCATGAAGTGAACATCTTCATCCCTGAAAGAGTGACCGCTGGCCTGGAGATGAGTGTAGACCGCAGAGTCCTGGCCTGATCATGTTGATCTTCTGTGCTGGTCCATCCTTTTGGCCAGTGGCTGTTTAGTTTCCCCGATGTAAGACTGATCACAGCCCTCCTGACACTGAACAGCATACACAACATTACTCTGTTTGTGCCGGGGGACTGGATCTTTGGGATGAACCAGTCTTTGCCGTAATGTATTTTGGGGTTTAAAAGCCACTGGGACGTTATGTTTAGAAAATAAACGTCTCAGTTTCTCTGATACCCCCTCAACATACGGAATGACCACTGGTCTGGGTTCCTCCTTTTCACCTGTTGGCTGACTGGAGTCCTGTTTGGGTTTCTTCTCTGCTTTCAGGAAGGCCCAGTTAGGATATCCACATTGCTCTAGAGCCTGTTTTGTGTAGGATTTCTCCTTCTGCCTGGCTCCTGAGCTAGTGGGGACGCTGTCTGCTCTGTGGTACAGAGTCCTGATGACTCCTAACTTGTGTTCCAAAGGGTGATGGGAGTCAAACTGCAAATACTGGTCTGTGTGGGTGGGTTTGCGGTACACCTCGGTTTGCAAATGTCCTCTATCCGAGACTGAGACCTCACAGTCCAAGAAAGCCAACTTGCCATTTTTTACATCTTCTCGTGTGAACTTGATGTATTTATCCACAGAGTTGATGTGGTCATTAAAATGTTGGACTTCCTGAGATTTAATTTTAACCCAGGTGTCATCAACATACCTGGACCAATGACTTGGTGGTGTCCCTGAAAAGGACGTCAAGGCTCTCTTTTCTACCTCCTCCATGTACAGGTTGGCAACAATAGGAGAAGCTGGAGACCCCATAGCACACCCATGTTTCTGCCTATAATATTGCTCCCCATATGTGAAGTAGGTTGACTGCAGGCACAGTTTCAAGAGTTGACACAGTTGTTCTGTGGAAAGCGTGGTCCTGCTGCTCAGAGTGGTGTCTGATTTTAATCTTAAACTGACCACCTCTACTGCATCATCAACAGGAATGCACGTAAAGAGTGATGTGACATCAAAAGAGACCATTGTTTCATCAGTCTCCATGATGACATCCCTCACCTTGTCCACAAAGTCCATGGTGTTCTGTATGTGGTGTTCTGAGCTGCCAACTAAAGGGATGAGTACAGACGCCAGATATTTGGAAACATTGTAAGTGACAGAGTTAATCATGCTAACGATAGGTCTTAAAGGTACACCTTGTTTGTGGATTTTAGGTAAACCATACAGACTAGGTGTGGCCTCCCCTGGGTACAGTCTGTGGTACAGAATACGGTCAATAGTCTTGTCCTGCTCCAAATTTTTCAGGCAATCTATTAACTTCTTCTTGTAACCACTTCCTGGATCTCTTTTCAGAGGTTCATAAGTGGTTAAGTCACTAAGGAGTGTCATAACTTTCTCATGATAGTCTTTCTGGTTCAAAATCACTGCGCACCTTCCTTTGTCTGCTGGGCCATCTCCAGGCCAGCGGTCACTCTTTCAAGGATGAAGATGTTCACATCCTGGACAGAGAGGAACGATGGTTTGAGAGAGGAGTAAAGGAGGCCATCTTTGTGAAAAGAAATCGTCCATCATTAAACAGGGGTGGAGGCCTCCGGGTTCAACTGTCCCCCTCTTACAATGCTGTGATTGCTAGTATCACTCAGCCCTCTGTGAGTAGTAAACAGCCATCAGTGTGCTAATGATCCATTGTTGGGCTGATGGTCCTTCTTGAGCATGTGATCAGCTGGTTTTGGTTGTCAGCAGCAAACTGGTTGATCCACTCTGAGAAGGTGCTATTTAAGAAACTGAGCTGAAAACAGCACCTCAGACTGAAGAAGTCTCTCGGATGAGAGACGAAATGTTTCTAGAATTTTTTTTGCTTTGTTTTGCTTTTGTTTTTTTGAATGTCCAGAGGACCAGATTGAACTTTTTTGGATTTTTCTACCTGGATTATTGAGCATGCATCAGGAAACTCAAGTAATTGATTACGACATAGATCTCAAGATACAAAAATAAATAAATAAATAAAACCGCAAAAAAAAAAAAAAAAGTTATTATTTACAAAAAAAAGACCAACAAAACATTGGGAGCGTATATTATTGCTCCTACCATTTCTCATACTGCAAATAATTCACAGGAAAAACTAAACTATTAGTTATTATTATTAAACTGCAAATGTGAAGAAACGTGCAGCACGTCAAAAATGAAACTTAAACCGAAACTGGTTCGGTGGATTGGACCCGGTGTTACACCATTCTCTGTGACCTGCAACAGTGCAACACCGCCCCCTACAGTCAAAGGGTTTGTTGGCGATATGTGCTGCTGATTATCCATGCCGATATCATGCTGCTGATTATTTCATACTTCTGTATTCATTTGTACTCGTCTACTCACTCACTCATGTTCGTGCTGCTGTTGGTTTGCACTGTATTTAGCGTATTAGTTTAGCATACTTCTTAGTTGACATCTTAGATCCTTATTACTGTTTCCTTTTACAATTTATATTTTTGCTGCTCTTGGATGTAACTGGGACCCTGTGTACACAATTTCATTGCACCTCATGTACCAAATGTGATGCAAATAATAAAAAATACTTGAACTTAACTTTATGGTCTTTAGGTCTCTTTTGTAAATGAGTCCTCGAGGCTCAATGGGATTTACCTGTCTAAATAAAGGTTGAATGAATGAATTATAAAGCCTTAAAATATATGTAAATACTAAAATAAAAAAAAAACAGTCCAGATGACCGGACAAAAAATTGTTGGGATTGTATACCTGGATTGTTGAGCATGGACCTTTTTAAAAAAATATATATAAATAACGTTCCTACTTTGTGGGTTTTCACCTATTGTGGGGACGGGATGTAGCCCCCGCGATAATAGAGGGAACTGTAACATTTGTGGGCTACCTTACAGGCCTGCTTGAAAAGCCATCTTTTTCCAAGAATTCAAATTCTTTCAAATGTGCTGCTAAAGACTGTGTGCTTGATATTCATCTTTACCCTCCACAGACACGGCAGATTGTGTAATATTTGTAAGCTTATGTGAAATTATTCTCGTCAATTAAGTTTTGAATAACACCTCTGACTCGTACTTTTCAAACAACTGATGGTTATTTGTCTCTATGTGTTCCTGTAATGGACTTGCGACTTGTCCAGTGTGTCCCATGTGTAGTGGACTAAGCCTACGTCGAAACCCAGTCTAAGGTCAAAACTCTTGACCTTTAGAACCTTGTGGGACAGAAGCTGTCATTTCATGTATTTGACTCCATAAATACAGGTTCACCCATCCTGAGACTTTCTTTCTTGAAGATTCAAGTGAAAAGAACACTCTCTTTTTATTATCATTACTATCTTACAAATGTTGATAATCAAAGTGTCTTAGTTCAAACCATTTTAGATGTTGCAGTGAACTAATCAATTTTATTAACTGAGTAATGATTTTATTCTCATGTTAAAAGCTGTGCAGAGTTTATGCATTTTTCTGATTTCTGCTTTTGAATGAGCAAGTGTGTGCGTTTACAAGGTTACAGTCAAACGAAAAACAAGTTGTTATGTTAAAACTGTCATGTTTTAGAATCCTCTCAGACGTAAATAGAGATGTTTTGCACCTGTGTCTTAGGCACGCCAAAACAGAACCCTCTCGGTCTGTGAGAACATTTCTGAGCTGTCTCATAACAATTCTCGCTGTCTCTAACCCCTTACGTCACAAAAACACACCCCTTCTGGTCGTTTCTGACCAATGAAAAATCCCAAAAAGTGAACCGGGAAAGAGTCTTTAAAATGTCAGTACTTCCTGGTCTACACAGACTCACAGGGACACGGAGAGACACACAGGTACTCAGAGTTGGAGAGTTGTCAGACTTCTAGAGTTCTGGAGTTCTGATGGAGTGCTGTTGGAGTTCCTGACATGACAACGAAGCTCTTCCGAGTTCCATGGGATTATAACATTTTCCACTGAGGTGAGCTGTGGCGGACAGAACCTCGCCGCTACTCCGGACGAGTAACAGCATCCTACGGAGACGCTGAAAGGGTGCGTTAAACGGAATCTCGCCTGAGACATCTCCAGGTAAAAGAGTCGTTTTCACCACCTAAGTGTACTGTGAGGAAAAGCTGAAGAAAGCCCGGAGAGTGCCGTTCTGTTCAACACTCTACCTCAAACACCATCTTTCTCCCCTTTAAACTTCATTTTTCATCTTAAACTTTTCTATCAAGTAGAAATTCTCCCAGATATTTAGAAATGTCTGTGTAAAGTGCTTACCCACATTCATGTGGGTAAAAGATCATAGTTGTACAGTTATAAATGTCTGTTGGTGCAGCAACGGAGAAATCATGGCCGTATGATTTTTCCTGATTGATTGCTTTGTTGTTATTTTCATAATTTGCCAAATTAATGTAAATGTTTGATGTTAAATTTGATTCTGTAAATAAATGACCGCATTCATTTTGATGGGTCAAATTTAAATGACGTCTCACTTTGCATTTCCTTAAATTCAGTGCACGTTTTATTCAGTCCAGAAAAATGAGGAACTCGCGTTAAATGATGAATACATCCCAGCATCTGTTCATCTACACATGCCTCTCACACAGTCATAGCTGGACAGAGACCCCCGCAAACCGAAAAGGAAGAAGTGGGTAAAGATAATGGATGGATTTATTTACTGAACTGCAGTCTCTTTAGATTTAAGCCTTGGGTTTAGCAGGTGCTCCTTTCTTTCCATGCCTCTTCTTGGGCTTTAGCATCTTAGCCTTGATCTGTAATCAGAATCAAACTAAATAACCATCAAGTTTTATTTCCATCTCAACGATTTCTAACTACAAACGACTTACAGTAGGGTTGTGCTGCAGGATAGCGTGACGCCTTGCTGTCTTGGCATAAGGGTTCAGTTTGAGCATTATCTTCAGATTCTTCAGAGGATTCTTCTTCAGGACTCTGCGGTTGATCTTTTTGCTATAATTAGAAGAAAAACCAGACTTTATGTAAACGACCACTAAAACCGTTTTAGAAGAAGTTGGTTTTTGCATTGCTCAGAACTTCTATACCGATCAGGATTCAGAAACACGGACCGAAGCATAATATCATCATAGCCACGAGAAGTTAATGAACAGCTAATAAACTTAGTACGTACATGGGTGCACGTAGAGCTCTCTGGACCTCCTCACTCTTCAGAATCCTGCTCAGGTCTGTGTTTGTCATCTTGTGCATGGGAAGGCTGAAAACAAGCATCAATAGGTTTAAATTTCCATCCATCCATTATTTTTACCTGCTTCTTCCTTTACGGATCACGGGGGCCACTGGTGTCCATATCCAGCAATCACTGTGCTAAAGGCAGGGGACGCCCTTAAGTCTGGACAGGTCTCCAGTCCAACACAAGGACACAAAGACACAAAAGCGAAAACCATTCTCTCTCTCTCACTCACACCTAGGGACATTTAAGTTATTAAATCAGCCTAACATGCACGTTTTATGGTCTGCGGGAGGAAAGTGGAGTACCCCGGGAAAACCCACTCATGCAGAGAGAAACTGCTAACTGTACTTTGACTTTGCTCAGACTAGATTATACATCAATACTCTGTGACAGTTTAATGACAGCAGGCAACTGTCACTGTTCACAGGATCAGACGCAAATTACACCATCATAGCAAGTCAAATTTTGTTCAGAATAATTACCATTATTAAAACATACGTCCAAAACATTCTCTCATACTTTTAAATCACATACAGTTAATTTTGTATTAGAAGTCTGGAAACTTACCCTTGGACATGAGTGCAGGAATGGCTGAAGCAGCCAGGGCAGAGCAGATGGCATAGCGTTTCTGGGGTGTATTGATCCTGCGGTGCCAACGGCGCCAGGTTTTAGTGGGGGCAAACATGCGACCACCACGACACATCTAAACCAAAGTCAAGGAAGTCCTGACACCAACAGAATTACTGAAGCACTTATAACCAGCTCAGACTCATTATTCACCAGCCATCGGTGCCCGCATATGACAGTAGACATTCAGTATAGAAGCAAATTATACCATCACAGCAAGGTCGTAAGCAAACGTGTAATAAAAAGATACGGTTCCAAAAGCACCCTGGCCAGAACGAGTGCCACCACCTCTGACACGAGGTATATAAGATACAGCTCTGTCTGTTCCCCAGGACTCTGCACTCGTCTGGTGACCTGAAATAAATATAAATTAGATGTATTTACAAAATGTTAAAGCAGCCGACTTACATAATGAAGGCATCATGAATAAATGAAAACACTCACCTGCAAGTTGGCTGACAGCATAAAGCTGGAGACTGTTCTTGCGCATGTTGGTGTGAACAAAATTCATATCAGGGCACTGGGGGCCCTGAACACAGCAGGCTGGACTACATTTTTATCAGACCTAGTTTTATTCTCAGCCTCCACCAAAACTCCCTGGGATATTCAGCTCAGAATTCCAAGACTTTGTTAATAAATTGTAAGGAATATTTTTTATTTAAAACTTGTACTTAATACTTCACTGACAGTTCTTCACCTTTACATTTTTCTTTATGACAGCTTGATTAAGAATCCTGCAGAGAGGGCAGATTTGAAGCAGTTGATGGTAAGTGTGAATTCATAGTTTTGTATCATCTAAACTCTGAAACATATTGAGCTATGATAAAACTTGTTTCAGGTGCATCCTTTCATCAAAACGTCAGAAGCAGAGGAGGTGGACTTTGCTGGCTGGCTGTGCAGCACCATTGGACTCAGTCAGCCTGCGACGCCCACCCATGGGACAGCAATGTGAGACCTGCTCTCACTGACAACAAAGCCATAAATACAAGTCTTTGAGATATTTGTACTATTGGATCATTTTCCAAGGAAGCAACAAGTTTCAAAATTATGAATAGTATATTTGAAGAACTAACTTAAAGGCTAAGTGAAATTATGTATTGAACATTTATGGGCTACCTTGCAGGCCTGCATGAAAAGCCATCTTTTTTTAAGAATTCAAATTCTTTCAAATGTGCTGCTAAAGACTGTGTGCTTGATATTCCTCTTTACCCTCCCCAGACACCGCAGATTGTGTAATATTTGTAAGCTTATGTGAAATTATTCTCATCAATTAAAAGTTTTGAATAACACCTCTGACTCGTACTTTTCAAACAACTGATTTATTTACTGAACTGCAGTCTCTTTAGATTTAAGCCTTGGGTTTAGCAGGTGCTCCTTTCTTTCCATGCCTCTTCTTGGGCTTTAGCATCTTAGCCTTGATCTGTAAACAGAATCAAACTCAATAACCATCAAGTTTTATTTCCATCTCAACGTTTTCTAACTACAAACGACTTACAGTAGGGTCGTGCTGCAGGATTGCGTGACGCCTTGCCGTCTTGGCATAAGGGTTCAGTTTGAGCATTATCTTCAGATTCTTCAGAGGATTCTTCTTCAGGACTCTGCGGTTGATCTTTTTGCTGTAATTAGAAGAAAAACCAGACTTTATGTAAACGACCACTAAAACCGTTTTAGAAGAAGTTGGTTTTTGCATTGCTCAGAACTTCTATACCGATCAGGATTCAGAAACACGGACCGAAGCATAATATCATCATAGCCACGAGAAGTTAATGAACAGCTAATAAACATGGTACGTACATGGGTGCACGTAGAGCTCTCTGGACCTCCTCACTCTTCAGAATCCTGCTCAGGTCTGTGTTTGTCATCTTGTGCATGGGAAGGCTGAAAACAAGCATCAATAGGTTTAAATTTCCATCAGACAGAAACAACAACGTCACCACTTTAGTTTAGTTTTAACTCAGAACTTCATCAAATATCACAGAGTTCAGAAACACGGACCATGAAGTGGAAGCTCATCACTGATGTACACGTACAACATAACAGGACGCTGTGCTTCATGCTACACGTCACACGCTGCTTAAAGACTCACTTGTAGTCGACCTTCAGGGTGGAAGGCTTGCGCCAGGTGCCGTACAGGTCGTCCAGCTTTCGGAAAGCGCTTTCGGTCCAGATGCAGAATCGTCCAACGTGACCACCAGGAGCAAGCCTCAGGAGGTTCAGTTTGTTCACGTTCTGCAGAGTGATGCCTGCATGATGCAGCACAATTCAGTTTATTTATACAACTCCAAGTCACAACAGAAGTTATCTGAGGGCACTGAACAAATGCATCAACAACTGAACACTAGCAAACCAAGAAAGTCAAAACATGTTCCTTAGTTCACCACTGATATAAACACCACCAGGTACGACTAGAATGTTTCCTGAGCACAGTCATTTTATACGACTTATAGAGCTCACCTGGAATATTTCTGAAGGCTTTGGTTAAACCAGTGTCTTGGTTGTAGATGATGCATGGCCCTTTACGCTGGATTCGTCTACGATTCCTCATTTTACCCTTACCAGCACGCATGCGCTGAGAGGCGTAGACCTGAAAACACAATTTATGGAAGGCATTCACACTACGTACATATGACAAAAATGCCAAACCCTGACACAATTTTAGCTGTTGTCAGTCAATTCAGAAACCATTATGAAGTCAATACTTCATGGATAATACTGGTACAACCACAGGCCATATTCCATGGGTTTTTGTTTGTGTGTGCACCTGTGTTCACTGGTATTGCATTTCATTAAACTGGGAACAGGAGGCAGCAGGCCAGTCATTTTAGTAGAGTCCCATTTAAGAACTATTGGAGGGAGAGCTGTGTGCCATTTTACTGCTCTGAATAAACTTTTTTTTTCTTATATGATCCAGTGAAAATACAAGTTATCCTTGTGTGCTTCCCATTTTATGTCTAAGCTTTTTGTAGTTTGAGTATTCATTGCCACATTCAGTTAAAACAGGTGTCAACACTGAGCATGATTTTTCAGTTATACGTGTGGATGACAAGTTATTTTAGGTTACCATCTACAAAAAGCTCAAAAGTAAAACCAAGTCACGTTTAGTTCTGATACAACAACTGAAGGAGATGAAGCTGCACAAGTCCACAAATACATCCATGATTCTGGCTGAGCTGTTCCATTTCACTACAACATTTCACAAAGAGACAGATGTTGGGGACATTTATATTGCTGACTTTAAATGCCTATTTTAATATTACCTTCTTGATGTCATTCCAGGCTTTGAGCTTCTTGAGCAGGAGCACTGCCTCCTTGGTCTTCTTGTAGCCCTCAACTTTGTCTTCAACCACCAATGGGACTTCAGGGATTTCCTCAATACGATGGCCTAACAACCAACAACTTCACTTAATCAAAGGATATTTACACAGAAACTGCTAACTGTACTTTGACTTTGCTCAGACTAGATTATACATCAATACTCTGTGACAGTTTAATGACAGCAGGCAACTGTCACTGTTCACAGGATCAGACGCAAATTACACCATCATAGCAAGTCAAATTTTGTTCAGAATAATTACCATTTTTAAAACATACGTCCAAAACATTCTCTTATACTTTTAAATCACATTCAGTTAATTTTGTATTAGAAGTCTGGAAACTTACCCTTGGACATAACAAGTGCAGGAATGGCTGAAGCAGCCAGGGCAGAGCAGATGGCATAGCGTTTCTGGGGTGTATTGATCCTGCGGTGCCAACGGCGCCAGGTTTTAGTGGGGGCAAACATGCGACCACCACGACACATCTAAACCAAAGTCAAGGAAGTCCTGACACCAACAGAATTACTGAAGCACTTATAACCAGCTCAGACTCATTATTCACCAGCCATCTGTGCCAGCATATGACAGTAGGCATTCTGTCACTGAGCACAGAGTCAGACGCAAATTACACCATCACAGCAAGGTTGTAAGCAATGTTTTAAAAGCAAGCCGTTAATAAAAGTGTAATAAAAAGATACATTTCCAAAAGCACCCTGGCCTGAACGGTGAGTGCCACCACCTCTGACACGAGGTATACGCGCTACAGCTCTGCCTGTTCCCCAGGACTCTGCACTCGTCTGGTGACCTGAAATACAAACATACATTATTCTCTCAATATTTCCAAAAGGTTCAAGCAGTCGCCTAAATTCATTCGTAACATGAACGAATGACAGGAACACTCACCTGCAAGTTCGCTGACAGCATAAGGCTGGCGACTGTTCTTGCGCATGTTGGTGTGAACAAAATTCACAACATCAGGGCGAATGGGGGCCCTGAACACAGCAGGCATGACTACATTTTTGCCCGAAGATTCTCCTTTCTCGGAATACACCGAGATGAGGGGTCGGGAACACGCCTGAGAATGCAACAACAATCTCAAGTTTATATTTTAAAACACTTTCAATTGGATTTATATTGATAACTAAACTAAATACTTATTTTAGTTACAATTCTTACACCTCCTACTACTTCCTACTTGAAGGTATCCAGCAAATTGTAGTAATGATTACTCTGTGCAAATATTACATTTAGATGCATACGACCTTTGATAGTTATAATCAAATTTGTCTTATATAAAACAGGAGGAAGTACATCGATGTTGGTATTAGCTTAGCACCGTCTTGCTAACATGGCTTGAAAAGCTTTTTTCCATCATTCAGTGGAGTACGGAATGACCCCGAGACGAAACAAATAAAACTCTCATGAATGGATTATGGTCAGGTACGTTAATTTCATAACCATTATAAAACACTTCGCATCGGGTCCGTGAGCTACGAAGCAACCAGTACACGTGTAACTGGGCCGAATCACTCAGGACTGCACGTTAAAATGGCTTCCCATGTTAGCTTCGATAGCCAGGAGCATTAGGTTGTCTGCTCACTTATTAAGTCTTAAATAGTCAAAACAGTCAGATTTCACTTAAATACATAACATTATGTGAAATGGCATATAATATGTGACATGCTAAGTGATATGCTTGCAGTTCCTCACCATTTTCGGTAGTTATCTTTCGGCTCGCCGGGGACCACGCTCCACACGCTATGGCGGCCACAGTAAAAAGGAAGTTGGTGAATCACCCGCTATCCCATATGCCTCCGCCCATGAGAAAACAACTTCCGTTAACAATATTTTGTACCCAATCTTTTCATGATAAAATAAACCTACAGAAAAAAATAAAGTTTTAAATATAAGCTGAAAATATTTTAAATAAATCATATTAAACAATTTAAAGTGGCTTCTAATGTTGGGACTATGTCTTCACTCGATCCTCGCGCAACATCTTTTTACTTCAACGGAAACGCCGAACTACTTCCCTTCTTAAATATCTCTAAAATTACAAAAAAAAAAAATTAAAGTGTATTGTTCATTCGAGTATAACATTCACAACATTTTCAATGTATTAACTTTTTTTTTACTTAAAACTTTTATATGATTCCTACGATGACCTGTGACCTCTGTCGTCATCTTTCAAGTGAGCGCGCGCGAGCGTCAAAACACAAGCTGCAGTAGCATAAAGTTTGTTCGGTGTATTTTCTACCATATTGCCTACATATTTGGAATGGGTACAAAGGTGATATCTAAAGTCAAGACGTTCTTCAATGTTCTTCGGTGAGTAGCGTCAATAGCCTCTAAACCATTTTAGTTAACTTCATGATATCCTTCATTATCACTGAAAAAGGTTCTTTTTAACGGCCTGTTGGTCAGTGTTGGTTAGCTTACTCGCATGTTTAAGTTACTTTTTCTCTTGTGTTCAAGATCTCTTCAAGAGGAGGAAAACAGGGATTCATGTACATATGAGGTAATTATTTTCACATACATCTCAGACTTCAGTGTGTGTGTTAGTGGCTTCATCACGTTTGTTTGTTTTTTTAGGAGGATATCCAAATATTAAAGACGAATGGAGACAAAATTACTGCAGTAAATTTATACTGTAGCAACCAGACAGTGTTTGTCTGTGAAAAGGCTGTAAGTATTTTTCGTCCTGTCACATTAAATCAACTGCTGACACCAACAGAGCTGAGATGAGCATTGACATAACATTGTGCTAAAAATCTCCACTAGTTTTAAAAATATACTTATTTTTTATAACTTAACACTAATGTTAGGGAATTTTTGGTCAAAAGTTTATGGATGTTTTTAACTACTCTGGCTGAGAATGTTAACTCGGCCCATGAACATCAACATGTGACATGGGAGCTGCTCTGCTGGTTCAATTCAAGTTGTTTATTTGTCATATGCAGGTTAAGTTACACAAGATTAACAGTACAATGAAATGCAGGATGAATTTGTATGAATAAGTATTTCAAGGTAGTAATATAAGCTAAAATGCACAATATAAATTGCCCATAACTAACATATACTATACAGGTTTGTGACAGGTTATTGCACAGGTAGTGAGTGACACTGAGATTGAATTATGATGATAAGGCAGATACATAGATACTGTATCATACAGCCACATAGTGCAGCAGCAATAAACATATTAGCTGTCACAAGCTAATATTAGTCATTAGTTATCACAGATGTGGCTTGGTACAATGTTATTGCCAGTTGTTCAGTGCTACTTATTGAGAGTTTAGTAATCTGACATTTTGTGGATAATGGCTGTCCTTTAGTCTTTTTTCAGAAGGTTGCGGAGCATTAAATGTGGAACCAGAACCACTAGACCAGGGCTATTCAACAAAACTGTTCAGTGGGCCACAGTTTTTGAAAGCCAGCAGCTCAGGCACTGGATATCCAGCAATTAAAGTCATTATGTAAATGAACCAAGTTTTACAATGATCTGTTACCTTTTAAATTAGTTTGTTTTATTGCATTGAATCATAAATGCAATGACCAGAACCCAGACACCCCCCCCCCCCCCCCGGTAAATATTTATTTATTTATTTTTAATGAACTCATTGGGCCGGACTGAAGTCACCCGCGGGCCGGAAGTGGCCCGTGGGCCGCGAGTTGAATAGCCCTGCTCTAGACAGAGAAACAAATTCTAGCCTGAAGCTGTAAGACTCTTAAATTCCTAACCAGACAAATCACTAGTTACACTTTAATTGGACCACACTGAGGAAGTCTCTTGGATTAGAGACGAAACGTTTCTATATTTTTTTGCTTTGTTTTGTTTTTTGTTTTTTTGAATGTCCAGAGGACCAGATTGAACTTTTTTGAATTTTTCTACCTGGATTATTGAGCATGCATCAGGATACTTTAATTGGACATTTGACACTATCCATGCTGCTGTTTTTGTTGTTGTTTTTTTTTTACTCTTAAGCTGCTATAGTCATACCCATCTGCTTACAATTGACTCTTGTTCAGGTTGCTGTTTACCATGCCTTATGTATATTAATATTGTTGGTGTGTATATATTAGATCCTTATATAGTGTTCATTTTTTATTTATACTTTATATATAAATTGCTATTATTGGGTGTAACTGGATCTTGAGTACACAGTTTCATTCCACCTCATGTACCACATGTGAAGCGAATGACAATAAAGTCTCCTTGAATCTTGAATCATATGTTTGGGTTAGTAGAAAGCTGAATGAGGATCTGGGTGAAGCGGCTGCATGCATCTGTCGCTCTAAGGATGCCTCAGAGTCTGTGAGCTCGGCTGAACTTATAAGCGTATAACAACAAACTTCACACACTGCCTGGGGCAGATTCTTGTGACTGGGCTTCATGCGTGTGAGGAGTTGGATGAGGTGGTTGCATGCAGCCACCTCATCCAACTCATTCAGCTTTGTACTAACCCAAACGTATGATTCATGGGCAGAGTTAACATTCTCAGCCATAGTAGTTTAAAACATCCATAAACCTTGACCAAAAATTCCTTAACGCCTAATGAATTAACAACTCTGTCACCGGCAAATTGTTATAGTCATAGCCTGATGATGTGCAGTGTCTGATGTAACTTTCAGTTTGGTAACTTTTACTCTATTTTTAGTTAACAAATGATCATTTAATGTCATTAGGTTCCACGAATAAGTGAGCCAGATGATGAACAAGTATTGGAGACATCAAACTCTGATGCTGTTTATGGTTGTGATGTTCTACAAACAGAAGCAGGACCGCAGCCACTTACAATCACAAAAGCAAGGTGAACAATGGTAAAGATTTTTTTGTTCTTTAAATGAGGTTGCATGTCTATTAACCATCTTTACTCTTCATATAGACAGCTGCTGTCTTTGTACACGTTATCTCAAAATGCTGGTGTGTCAGCCGTGGACAGCAGCTTTGTTTTACGCCCTCTCTGGGTGCGATGCGACATGTCTGATCCTGATGGAACAACTTGGTTTGGTGCTGAACCAGTTTGCACAGGAAACAAAGTAACTGGAGTCAAATTGTATTCCGTAACCTGCAAAGGTATATCTTAAACTTCTCTCAGCATTATTATACTTTCACTCTGAGTTATTTTAAAACACAAAACATTTGTTCTGAGGTTCTGGCACTTTTCATACTGGTCTTTATGTTGTCAGGTTCCACCGTGGATAAACGGTCTTTCCTGACCTTAGAGGAGCTGAAACAAGAGCACAAGAAGAGACATCATCTAACCTCAGTAAGATGGCATGTGTTCCCTTTTGTTGATTTACATGCATGAGTATTTACTCACTTCTAATTGTGAATAATTTGTAGATGGGGGTTAAAGGGAATGCCACGTTCAGCTTGTTTGGCTCCACTGTTCTTGAAAACACCATCATTGAGTCACAGAGCAGTGTGACTGTGGATTTCAAATGGAGTCATGTGGAGAGCATACTTGAAGCTCCTCCTTTGTCTTCAACAGCAACAATGGTGAGCAGCAGCCTTCCACACCTAAAACATATCTATAATGCTTTACTTTCAAAATGGTTACTTGGGCAGATAATAGAAATGGTATAAAACATGATTTTTACTTTACGTGTCTTTGTTCACATGCAGAATATCAAAGTTGAAAGTGGTGATATGAGAAGTCCGATGTTTGGGATGTACAGGGAGCTGGAGTTTCTTCGGGTCTGTGCTTTATGTAATTAAAGGTTATGGTATCAACAAAATTTTTAATGAATACCTAAATAAATCATCGTTTCTATTTCAGACTCTTGCAGAGAGTTTGAAAACTGGTGAGACTGAATGGATGGAACCAATGGAAAGCACATCAGCTGTAAATCTGACTAAGGCCTACCTTGAAGGTATCTGCATTCAGTAAAATCAGTACACCTTTAACATGATAAAAACACTAGCACTCAGACTACTTTTCTCTTTTTTTTTACTTCTTTCAGAACTTCAGAACACTGCAACAGCACTGCAAGATCAGGCTGCAAAAACAGCCGAGGTATGATAATGTTTAAAACAAGAGCTTTATCTAAAAAAAGGATTTCATTTAGAAAATTTATTTGACGTTTGTTTGTTTTTGTGTGTGTGTTTTGTTGAAGGCCACAAAGCTAAAGTCTGAGACAGACCCTGCTATTTTCAACAGATCCTTGGAAAGAGGCGATTTGGATTTTGTGGAACAGCTGTGGATTCGGTTAAGAAAAAGTATTATTATTTGCTTTATTGTTAAGAAAACTTGGATTTACATGTGAGTAATGATGAGGATCAGCACCTCCAAATCTGAGGCCATGATCCTCAACTGGAAAAGGGTGGAATACTCTCTTCAGGTAGACGGTGAGGTTCTGCCTCAAGTGGAGGAGTTCAACTATCTCAGGGTTTTGTTCACGAGTGAGGGAAGAATGGAGCGTGAGATTCAAGGGCGTCAGAAGCATCCGTAATGTGGGGGGTACACAATCATGTGTGTTTGGGGGGGGGGGGGGGGTGCGCGCGCATGTGCACGCGCGTAAAAAAAAAAAGGTGTTCACTAGTGAACAAAAAAGCAACATTTCACCTAGATTTCCTTTAATTCCACACATTTAAAACATGTTTCTCACCAAGTTTGTGTGGGAGACATTTTAACTAATACACTTTAATACAGAGTGTCAGGTCGGCACTATTTGTCTATAGAGAAATAAAAAAAATCACCACAAGACTTTGACTTGTGTTCAACACTATTCATCTAAATGATGTTTCTCATGAAGCTTGAGGACAATAAGGTGTGGGGTTTTAAAGACATTTCAACTTTAATGCACCTGAACACACAGCGTCTCTCTCTTACACCTGCAGCGTCTTACAGCATCACAGTTACTGCTAAGATAACATGCTACAGACATGGCGCTCCTCTCAAGCATCCTCCTAACATGAATATATGTTTATGATCCCCCCCCCCCCCCCGGTCAACAACTGTCCGCACTAAGCTGCTAAACTGGCAAGTGAGTAACACAGAGGTCGGTCCATCTCCTCCACCTGTGCGCATTGTCTGCTGAAGCAGAAAGAGACGCACAGAAACACTGCAGGTGTTACACCATATTCTGTAACCACTGTATATTGTGACCATGGCAACAGGCTGCTGTGTTTAGAGTTGGAGGTAACCAAGAAAACCTGGAGTGGCGTTTTAGTGGTTTGAGTATTCTATTAATCAAGTGGAATGGATTCGTTCACGAAGAAAGAGAAACTGCGCAGACTGAACTAATGTTTTATAGTAAAAGTGGGGGGGTCCAAATGAACGTGTTTGGAATGTGGGGGGTACTTGTCCCCTTCACATATAATGGTTGCGACACCTATGGTGAGATTGACAGATGGATTGGTGCTGTGTCTGCAGTATTATGGACTCTGTCCCAGTCCATTGTCGTGAAGAGAGAGCTGAGCTGTAAGGCAAAGTTCTCTGTTTACCGGTCGGTCTATGTTCCTACCCTCACCTATGGTCACAAGCTCTGGGTAATGACTGAAAGAATGAGATTGTGGATACAGGCGGTTGAAATGAGTTTCCTCTGCAGGGTAGCTGGACTCTCCTTTAGAGACAGGGTGAGAAGTTCAGTTATCTGGGAGAGACTCCGAATCGAACCGCTGCTCCTCCACATCAAGAGGAGCTAGCTAAGGTGGTTTGGGCATCTGGTACAGATGCTCCCTGGGCGCCTTCCTAGGAAGGAGCTTCAGGCATTTCCGACTGGGAGGAGACCCCGGGGAAGACCCAGGACACGCTGGAGAAACTACGTCTCTCGGTTGGCCTGGAAACGCCTTGGGGTCCTCCCAGAAGAGCTGGAAGAGGTGCTGTGGAAAGAGATGTCTGGGCCTCCCTGCTCAAACAGCTGCCCCCATGACCTGATTTCAGAACAAGTGGAAGATGATGGATGGATTGACTGAATTGATGGATTGGTTGATTTACATGTGACATTACCAGATGCCAGGTGTTCTCAAACTTTTTGGGTTCAGAGACCCCTTTATAGGGCAGAAAAAGTTTCAGGGACCCCCTCCTAACCCTCATGTTTATTAAACACTTTTCTTCCATTTGTCTCTTTAATACAATGGAAATATTTGTGTAACATAAATACTTAAGTCCCGTTCTTTAATAGTGTTAATACAATTTTTATACTTTTAAACATGGAGTATTTTTCATTCAAGACACACTTAATTAACAAATTTTAATTTCAACTTCCAAAAATTACAGTTTTGGTAAAATTAACGGCATAAAAAAACACTTTAATAAATGTATCGCAACTTCTTCAAATGATTACAGAAAACTCTACATAAAACTGAACAGAATCAGAACAGCAGTAGTCATATCAAGTAACAGGGATTAATCTGTAAACCGATTGATACTGGAACGTAAATGGGGGGGGGGTTTGTTTTCATGTTTTCATGTTTTTGCACAGGTCAGCTCTTGGTACACACATTCTGTCCTCCCCCAGAAAATTTTGAATAAAGTAGATGTGATTTCCTACATTTTGGTGTATTTTAACAGGTTAAACATCTACTTGCTTGTATAAAAAAAAAAAAAAAAAATGGTGGGGGGCCCTAAACACCGGCTTGCAGTCCCCTGGGGGTTCAGGGACCCCAGTTTGAGGTCCACTGCCATGGGCAACCACTTTTCTTTCTGTAACAGGTGTGACTTCATACGAGGACGTGAGAGACAGTTTGAAGTTGGTTACTGAAGCTCTACAATATGGAAACATCAAGCCTTGGGTATGAAGCACACAAACTGACAGTTCACAAACTAAACATGTACATGTTTGAGTGGGACCAAGTTTTTGTTGGTTTTGTTTGACTTCCTGTAGATTCACAGGGACAGCAGCAGCTCCCTTAGCAAGCTTATTCTGCAGTCCTACCACCAGCAGATCGATCACGTCTCTCTGACAGGTGTCACCCCCATTATCATGCTCCTGGAGATGGGGTTGGACAAGATGAGAAAAGATTATATTAACTACCTGATTGGTAACCTTTTTGTCATTTTTTATTTCTCTGTATAACTTAAATAGTTGTAAAATGCTGATATATATATATATATATATATATATATAATTTATTTATTTATTTTTTTAATAAATGTTGAATCTTTTTTTTTTTATCTACTATTATTTGTTTGTTTATTTCCCAGGTGAAGAACTGACAACTTTAAACCACTTGGTGAGCTTGCTGTGTTATTTTTAGGTCACTTAACAGCCCATCTCAGTGTAAACAAAGTGCTGGTGTTATTTTGCTCCACAGAGTTACTTCCTGAGCACAGAGGTGGATCTGCAGGAGCAAGTTGTTCGACTTAGAAAACTGCACCATCTGCTGGAGATAATTGCGACCTGTACTGCATTCCTGGATTTGCCCTATGACCGCCTCTTTCATCTCACACAGTAAGTTGCTTAATAATAAAATAAAAAAAAATCATAATCCTTGATTATTAAGCTTAAAAAAAGAATATTTTTTATTGTTTCTGTAGGTCTTGTTTGCAGCGCTTCAAAACGTCTCCAAACGATGAGGAACATGAATTCAAACTCCAAGTCAAACCGGCCCTGATCAGCCATTTGTATCAGAAGTAAGGGATCCAACTTTGTTTACGGTGTCTCCAAAAACAACCTGATAATTGAACTAACAATTGAGTTTCTAACAGAAAATGATCTAAATGGTGAGATAGAATGAGACTTAGAGACTCTTTAGTTTAATTTGTAGCTTAGGTTAAGTTCTCATTGAGCCTTGTTTGAGTTTTTTGGATCTTTGATTTCAGCCTGCCCCCACACATCCACACCCAACAAACTACAGATGCTTTTCTTGTAATGCAGAAGTGTTTAGTACAGTGATAATTTTCTTATACATTTGAAATTAGCAGTCAGCCTTGTCTGCAAAGTGGTGCATGTGGATCATTTCGCAAACATCCACATACAAGACACCCGGATGGTACATAATAAAAGTTCACTAACTAGAAAAAAACAAGGTTGTAGTTACTGAATGCAGTTCTCAGTAGGTAGATTTGATGTATTTTATTTACTTTTTTTTGTTGTGGCTAGGTTTATTCCATTGCTTAACTAATGAAAAGCCATCAGTGTTGCAAATCAAATATGTTTTAGCATGAAAGGTTTGTGAGCAGACATCTGTGTGAGAAAATGTGAATCAGTCTTAACTATGTGATGAAGCTTCTTAGCAATGTGCCAAAAAATACAGAACAAATATGAAGTGAAGGGAAGATCTTTATAGGCAAAGGTTTAAACTAAAGCATCGTTTTCAAGTTTAAACTTGATTACATTAAACTAAATAGTTGTATGGAAGTAAAAGCAGAACTTTTACCAGCATCACTACAAGAAACTTGCAGAGGAATCTGATGAATGCAGCACAAAATGATCAATAAAATACGATTAAACCACCAAACACAAAATCGCAGTCAGGCAAAAACTTCGTCTCCGTTTTTTAAATCATTTTCATGTTTTTGCACAGATCAGCTCTATTGGTGACCAAAGTTTTGGTTGAAATTAAGTAATTTTTTTTGTTTAATTTCTGGAAAAGTAGCTTTTTCTTATTGAAAAACAAGATTGCTTCCTTGTAAAGGTTTTGTAAAGTAAAATGTGTAGATTTTTTTGCTTTGTAGAGTAAAAGAAACAACTTTTTTATTGAAGTTTATTTTATTAATGTTAACTTTTTGCTTTTGCTTGTTTCGTTTTTTACATTCAGCTTATATTATCAAAATAATAGAAGGAGCATGGGTGTGTTTGCCCTATCACAAGTTCTCATGAGGTTTGTGTATTTTTTCTCTCAGAGAGCATCCATTAATGTGGGGGGTCGAGGTTTCCAGTGGTCACGGTCCTCGTGAGGTGCGGACATCTTTACAGCTTAGCAACAGACCGCTGGTTGATCACGTCATCATTGACACAGGTCATTTGTATGTTCCAATCAAAATATAGAGTATTAGCAACAACAGTAAACCAAAAATAACTGTTTTTTGTTCTTTAGATTACCCAAATGAAACCGTGAACGGGGACAGCGAGGAGCCTGCTTTCTTTTCCACTATGGTGTGCTGCAGCCTTGTCAGCTTTACCTGAGTTTACAAAGTACACACACCTACACAAAGTACGCACACCTACACAACAAATCACATGATGATATTTAATCATCTCATTAGCAATTAATATGTTACAAAATCTAATAGAATATAATAATTCCTTTAAACTGCTTAAAAGTCCAAAGTATACCCGGTAAGTTTCTCTGTCAATATGTTGTTTGTGTTAATGAAGTAAATAAATTTCAGTCTTCTTTTTAATCTCGTTTAATTGATAAACACGTTCATTGCTCCAGATGGCACTTGTAAGAAGATGTTTGCCAAATTTTGTTTAAACCTGATAAAAACATTGTAGATCAAATGAGTCGTTTGCGACGACAGTATTCTACGGCAGCTGTCTAATGTGAAAATAAAACCATAAAATCTTACAGGTTGCATGTAAATAAACAGTTTGTCTGCATTTAAATCCAACATCTCTGGTATTTCTTTATTTTTCTTAGCAAACAGTGTAGCACATCAGATTAATCAAGCCAAGTCTTTGAATTCACCTCAAAAGTTGTATTCATCCTCACACAAACACTTCATGTAAACTTCCACTGCATGCATTCAGATGTACAGACTGTGTCAACCTTGGTGGCTGTACACGCGTTAGTTCCTCCTTCGCAGCAGGAACATGAGGAAGATGGCACTGAGCAAAATGCAGAGTGTGCACACAGTGGGAACAACGATCTCTGTTACCATCTCCATGTGGCTGGTCAACGGGTCTGCAAAACACACACACACACTCATTACAAACATTTTGAAGTTATCAAATGGTGCAGGCACAGTTCACAATGCGAGCAAAAACACTCCAGCACAGCACTCAAAGGGTTAAATTAAATTATCCAATTTATTGTGAGGGGTTTCTTACCATGTATAAGTCTTAGAATATTGGCAGCAGTACTCCGCTGTTCCTCTAATGAAAGAAGAGAAAGTACTTAGACGTGATTGGCACTTTAACCCTTTGAGAACTGCTTGCAGGTACTGGGAGTGTTTTAGAAATCAGCATTTGTAAATGCTTTGTGTAGGCAAGAAAATTGATACCGTATTCTTCGGAATATAAGGCGCATTAAGCGAGACAAAACAGTCCGATAAGTCAAACTTTATTCAACTCTTTCACAATAACTCAACATTGTTCACTTGTACCACATAAAGTTGGTTCGAGGTCAGTAAGCACAACCAGAATTAATACAAGAGACGCACCAGATTAAGGCTTACTGTAGATTTTGGAGAAAATTAAAGGATTTTAAGTGCACCTTATAGTCCGAAAAATACGGTGAATCTAAAACACTTCAAATATAAGCGACCGGGAAGCAAGGCTCAAATTGATGTCTGTGGACTTAAAAGTTAAGCTGCATACTGCAGGTATCCTGCTTTAAAGTGAGTCTTTTAGTAAACATCTGGAGTAAGAATTCCCTAATGGGGACTGCAGTCAAATACTGTACCCAAATGAAGTCTTGGCTGGACCCAGAGTAGCTGTTAAATTTCATTAAAATAAACAATTTATAATTGACATGCTCTGCCTAGTTTACAGTAGTTCTTTTTAAGTAGCCCACCTTTTTGAGCTTTTACGGTCACACATTGTCCTCACACTTATGGGAATTTGTTTAATTTAAGTCGGCACTGCTTTTCCCACATTTATAGTACTGGTAATTCCCACGGCTTCTCTGCAGACAGGAACTACCGGTCCACAGGAAGGTTCAGGCCTGAAAAGACAATATGCTGAGAAGAAAATTGTCACAGCTGTCACTAAAGGAACATTTAAGTATATATATTGTGTATAATTCTGAATCTTTGTTAGAGAAAAGTTTCTTTATGAGGACAGAGATGAATTTTCTATGAAGCCCACTTTACTAGAGATGTGTTTACTGTTTTTTTAAGCTTCTGTAAAATAAAAGAAATATGCAACTTATAACGAAGACAGTATAAATTAGGAAAGCGCTGCACGTCAAACCCCTGAAACCTTTATTAAGGACATGAGTCAGTGTTAAACTGCAGATGCTTCACTCTGTTAGTCAGACGTTAAACCACACAATCGCAAAGCAACAAAAGAGAAAAGCAACAACTTTTTGGTGAGATAATATCCAGAACTTCTAAACTTCATCATGCACCGGCCAAACCTTTGGCACTTCTGCATGTTCCTTGGACTCTCTTCTAGCTGGAGGGGCAAACAAAGAAGATATCTCAGATATTCTGCAGGAGTGACTTGGCTTTTTACATTTCCACCAATCTTTATTTTTACAACTATTAGACTATGTGCTCTGAAGCGTTTGAACAGAAACATATTCAAGTTCGGTCAAAATAGTTTGTTTTGTTAATTCTGTTGATTTTGTTTTAGACTGATTTAAGCTAGAATCTTCATTTGTTTACCCCAGCTAGTTGTTCAGCTCAAACATCATCAAACACAAACTGACCTGCAGCTAACAGCTGATTGCTAGAAGAACAGGTCTCCACGGCCTTCCTCTTCCAGTTTTCAACCTGTCAATAATTAAAAATCAATTAGACGAAAGAATAGGTGTGCTTTTCTTGAGAAAATCTTTCAAGCGCCTTTCACCTCTCTCTGATTTGGAAATCCGTTGGAGCTGATGATGCGTTTGTAAAACTGAACTGAAGCTTTGGGGTAGCGAGGCTTGTTTTTACTCCTGAAGTCCACATAGTACAAGCCGAACCTTTCAGAGTACCCTTCATCCCACTCAAACTTGTCCAGCAGGGACCAGGCAGTGTAGCCCTTCACACTGACCCCATCTCTGATAGCTGGGAGACACAGAGGAACAACGTGGTGAGAGTTCAGGTTAAACTCTGCTCGTGGTTTTTCCTGTGAGCTCCGTCACCTTTTAGCATCTCGTTGATGTAGTCTTTATAGTACTGTATCCTCCACTCGTCACACAGCTCTGTGCACGACATCTTTTCAGAGACTCCGTTCTCCGTCACATAAATCATGGGGTTTCCATACTGAGTCTGCAGGCACAGCAAAGGTTACTTTAAAAGCAGGAGGAAAGTCTCTTCATTGTGTTACTGCACCACGAGTCACCTTGACAAAATTTAGCATGCGTCTGAAACCCCAGGGCACGGAGTAGAGCCACTCTGATCCAGGATCGGGCCACCGCGGGTCAACCAGCTCTGCCAGGTCACGGTCAGTGAAGTAGCTGGTGCTGCTTCGGCCTGACGGGTTGCTCTTATGGGTGATGTAACGTGTGGTGAAGTGACCTATGCCAAGGAAGTCACAGGTCCCCTTCATGTAGCTCTTCTCCTGTGGAGAAAACGTGGGCAGCCGAGACGTCCCCAGTCCCTGCTGGGCACTCTTTCTTCCTGCACACAGTTACTAAAGGGATTAGTTAATTACATTGTAAATAATGATAAAATACAATGAAAAGGGATGTACTTTTTTCCCTTGCTCTCGTGCAAGGCGGATGCTTTTTCCTCCTGCTCTCCTGTCCTCCTCCTGCTTTTTTTACTCTCTGTCTGTGTATCGGAGCTCCTATTTTACACATTTTCCGAAACTAAAACTACTGTCATGGATTTTTAAAAAGTTAAATCTGGTCCTCTGGACATTCAAAAAATCTAAACGAAGCGAAACAACAAAAAAATGTAGAAACGTTTCGTCTTTCATACGAAAGACTTTCTCAGTCTGAGGTGCTGTATTCAGCTCAGTCTTATAAATAGCACCTTCTCATAGTGGATCAACCAGTTTGCTGCTGACAGCCAAAACCAGCTGCTCACATGATCAAGAAGGGCCATCAGCCTAACGATGGATCATTAGCACCCTGATGTCATGGATCTGATCAGCTGGACTTTCAACGCAATCGATAAAAAATTTTCAACAAAGTGACAGGGTCCTGGAGAGCCCTCATGCCCCGCTGAGACGCATGCGGCAGGATACGTCATGGATCAGTGGGGAGTTTGGGAGCTGATGTGTCTTTCCCTATTGTCTCAGGAGGATGCCGAAGATGTTTATATAATTGGAACAATGATAGCAGGGTTTCTGCTTTTTGGCATCGGCGGATTCCTACGTTATTTGCTATTAAAGAAGATGGCAGCAAAAGTTTCTGCCATGTGTAACTAACTGTAACTGTGTAACATAACTGATTTTGACTTCCTTTTACATGGCAAAACTGCAGAGTCTGTTTAAAGGCTTGGTTCGTGCTTCAAGTACTCAAAATCAGCTGATTTACAAGCTAAACCGTAAGATGAAAGCGATTTGTGAGAATCAGAGACCATCTGCGACTTCTGGGACTCGCCAGCATATTGGGGACAACCTTGGAGGGGGCTCATAATCAAGGACCAGTGGAATGCCCACAAATCTGGTCATTTTTTAAATAAATAAAATGGTATGGTATTTTGGGACCAAAAGTACCAGTAGGACTCAAGGCTGACGAGAAAAAAAACAGTCCGCTTGAAAAAAAAATCAACAATCGTGGCTTATCTGAATCTGACTACCCCGGTTGGCCGACTTATCAGATTTCTCCTGGGATATGTGTAAACTAAGGAAAAGCTCTGTTTATCGCAACCACAACCCGGGAACTTCTGTGAAGGCTTATCACAGCTGTACCGGCTGACACCAACATCTTATCAGGACTATGGCCTATCTGGAAGTGCTTCATGGACAAATCTCACCGTCTTGCTGTCAAATGCATATGTAATGTGTTATAAATGTGCTTGCTGGTAGAGTTTTTGATGTCTTAAATTGTGTCCTGATAAAAACAAGGTATGAAGAGATAATTTTTTGTAATACCACTATCCTATCCTCATTGCCTTTTCCCCTTTTCTATCTAAAAAGTATTCTGAAAAAGGACAAGGGGCCACGCTCTCAAGGAGCAGCAGCAACGTGCACTCCACCCATCTTTCAGACAACTGTACAAACATAATCTCACAAAAAAAAAAATCTCACTTTATTTCGGTACAGTGATAAAGCTTATTCTGATTCTGATACATTGCCCTTTGCCTTTCATGCTGGAATTTTAGACATTAATATGAGTCCTAGCTGTTTTTGTCAAACAAAGAACGTTACTGTGTTATCAGTCTTACACAATATCACAAGGTCTCATTCAGAGTATGTCATTAATGACTCCCAGCTACTACCACAATATATGTTATCTCAGTTTGGAAAATTAAGTTATAGCCACGATGACTGTGTTGACTAAGATTATTTAGCTTTGACACCAATCTTGATTTGGAATGAGTAAAAAAATGAGTTGAAAGATGTGGACCTGATAATTACTTATAAAAAGTTTCATATGAATGTGTCCCTCCTGCTTTTCTTTTTGTCTTGTGATTCCTATTGGAGCCTCTCACTACATATCCTCCGAATTGTAAATTATGGATCTGGTCAGCTGGTCTCTTAACGCAACTGAAAAAAAATTCTCGACCGAAGATGTGAACGTAATTGGATTTATGATAACTGGATTTCTGCTTTTTGGTGTTGGCGGGTATCTGTCATATCGACAAATTCGGAAGATGGTGGCAATTGTAAGGCTGCCTGCCTTGTATGAAGGAATGTACCGAGCAGTAACCTCTCAGACTCAGACACTGCATGAGCTGAGCCGTAAGCTGGATGCAATTTCTGAGAATCGCAGGCTACTTGCAGCTCCTGGGACTCACTGGCAGGAAGGAATCAACCTTGGAGAAGGCTATAATCTCAGTCCAGTGGTATGACCACAAAATTTGGCTGTTTGGAATCGCCAGCGAGATGTACCAGCAGAAATATGAAGGCAGACACGGAAATTCAAGCAGAGGCTGCCTGACCCAAAATAATTGTGTTATCTGAATTTGGCTTCCCCACTCGGCCTTGAATTGGCAGCTATCTCAACTTCTCCTGGTTGTTTTTGTGAATGAGAAGCTCCACTCCCCTATCGCTCCCTTCCCGAGGACATTCTGTGGATCTGTGTCAGAGTTGAGCCGGCTGATAAACACTGTACCATCTTTATCAGGACTATGGAACTGTCTGACAGGGTTCTGGGACAACTCACTGCCCTCGTCGGCCCCCCCCATGCATAAATGTATTATGATGTCATCAGTATGTTGCTGTTTATGTGCTGAGGTCATTCTTTTGCAACTTTCACACTGTGACCTGTCTAGGACACCGTGCAAGATTTGATTTTTTTACACCTCCACTCCCCCTCATGTTTATTTTCCTTATCTGAACTAAAAAGGCTGCGCCTCTCGAGGCCGGCGGCCTCAGTCACCTCCGTCTCCCCATGTTTGTTTGGTTCTCTCAGACGGGCTGTACTGAAATGTAATTTTGCTGCGCTTCGGTACAGTGACAAAGCTGATTCTGAAAAAAAAAAAAAAAACTAGGTGTTTATCTCACCGACAAAGTCTTTCATTACTTGAGGGTAGTCTCCATGAAAGACAGGTGTGGCAAACCAGCCCAGGTAGAACTGGACATATCTCTCAGCTGCTTCGATGTCTTTCTGGTTGCTGATGTCCACGGGCTCACCCCAGTCCCCCGACAAAGAGATGCCAACCAGACCTGTTGGGAAGTGCAGCAGCTCAGACAGACTGGAGGGTAAATGTAGAGCCTTCTGTATTAAATTATATTCTTATTTACCTTGTTGTTTCCCCCTCCACTGGGTGTCATAAGTGTGCCAAACTTTAGCATGTGCCTATGTGAAATATATTAGTTTCATAATCAACTCCTTTCTCTCAAGTTTTGATAGTTTAACAAATCTGCACCCTCTCACCTTAATTATATGATGTGCAGCTCTGTAAGCTCCCGTTCCTCTGAGCCTCAGTCCTGGAGCGTGTTCGCCCGTCTCGTAGCCCTCAACTGCTACAGACTGCAATCAGAAACCAAAGTAGACATGCTTTGGATTTATCAGGAGTGTGAAACTCTTCCTGTGGATCCTCAGTGATGTTTTCTGTTTCATGTACAAATACATATCGCAAGCCTACCCACGGATTGTTGAAAGTGATCCAGTACTTGACTCGGTTGCCAAATCTCTCAAAGCACAGGTTGGCGAATTCATTAAAATGATTGATCATACTTATGTTCTGCCATCCACCGTATTTCTCCTGTAAGACCTAGAAAATTTATAAAGATATGATAGCTTGTTGTAACAGCCATCGGGATTAAATATACTGGAAGTCTGTAAAATGCATGCTAACCTGAGGAAGATCCCAGTGATACAAAGTAACAATGGGAGTGATTCTGTTCTCTAGTAGGTGGTTAATTAGTTCATCATAGTACTGGATTCCCTTTTCATTTATATGATCAGCTGAAAGGAAGGTTCAAGTTTGGATCAATCAAATCAGATGAGTCAATTCAGCTACATATTGTTAGCAGCAGCCACTCACATTTTACACCAGTGGGAATAATTCTGGGCCAGGAGATGGAGAAACGATAATGGTTAAGCTTCAGCTCCTTCATCAGAGATGTATCATCCTGTACAAAAATACATTCAAATCCAATGGTGTTTTCCCAACACACCATTCATGATTTCTGCATTTTACAAACATCCCACCTTGAATTTGTAGTATCCATCACAGGAGGAATCCCCAGTATCATTTTGTTGGATTTTGCCCATCTTGTGACTGAACACATCCCAGATGCTCAGTCCTTTCCCATCTTTGTCCCAGGCTCCTTCTGTTTGATAGGCCGAACTTCCGGCACCCCATGAAAATCCTGAGAAATCAGTCGGCAGGATCAGCTTTAGTGGTGTGTATATTTAGTCCAAGTATTAAAATTAATAGGATTCTGCACAGGTTGAGTACCAGTTGGAAAAGTGCCATAATAGAAGGAGTCGTGGTTGTTCTTTGTCCAGTCGAAGTCCTCAGCCGCAGACAGATACAGCACCAACATAAGCACATAGCACACACTGACTGCTCTGCGGGGTAGCATGGTACTCCAGAGCCTGCAGCACAGTTCCCGTCCTGTTCTCTGGTCCTTCACCGTTTACTGAAGAGACATGAGAGCCATTCAGCATCTACACTTACCTGCAACAAAACATGCCATAACCAAAGTCATAAACACACATGCTTGAAGTATATCAGAGAAGAGCTTGCCAATAAAACTGTTATCAAGTAGACTGGAAGCAGCCGGAGTGATTGACCACGGGGGGTCTCATGTCCCCTAATGCAAAACTAAATGCCTCTTTTCAAACTCAATGGAGTGTAAGCTCATGTTGCTGAGGCCGGCAGATCCCATACAAACTGTGGTTTCACCTCTGTAAGCAAAGCTAATGTTAGAGACTGATATGTTTACAGACCAGTCACGACATGAACAGATATGAAAACCTGACTCTCAAAGTTGAAAGAAAACTACGAACATCAAAATACAATGGGGAATAAATCTACCCTTTATACTTTATATTTACATATACTTTTCACATCAGTATTTTACCAGTAGTCTTCCTAAGTCCAATTACCGGTACCTGTAAATGTTATGAAGAACACATCTGCTGCCAGCCCAAATCTGTTGATGCCTCCTGGAGCAGCAGATGTAACAAACTTGGTATTTCTAACGCAGAGCTGTGTTCCCTGCTGCCGCACCACTTCTCCAGAGCCGTCCCTGCTGTCAGCGTGTTAAAGCTGACCTTATTGTGAGACCCGCTGTATTGTTTTAACTGTGTAGAAAATGCTGAATGGTTTTCTAGCGGAAAGTGTTTGCGCTGCAGTACCCATTTGCCTGGGTCAAATGAGGACATGAATTAAACTTAACTGTACATAAAAAATAAATAAATCTGAAAACATCCTTGTGTGGTGGAAAACATTTTAAAGAGAAAATTAAAAGTGGATGTTGAAGGAATAAGAGAAGCTAATGCAAAACATTTATTTTGTGCTTACAGTTCTTCTTTCATACATAATGCAGACATTTTAACTTATTTTATGGCCCAGCCACAAATGTTCATTAGACACATCTCTCAACATCAAAGTTCTGATTCTTCGGTGAAATCTTAGTTTTCTATCCTCATAATGCACTACATGTTGAGGAAGCTACAGTATAAGCACCTAATAATACTGCATACCAGTGTGACATTTCCCAGTAACTTTCACACACGACTACCGTACTAAAATTAGATATCAAGATGACAAATTAAATCAGGAAGAACGAGCTCACTGCTAGCACCACACGCTACACTGTAACTGTTACACCTTTCAAATAAATTAAACCTATTTTGACTCATAATACTAATAAAATGGTGCCTGTTAACAGAGTTCCTGTTCTTCAGTGGTGTTAATACGGACATCCTAAATCTCAGTAATCGTCGTCTTCCTCATACTCCTCAGGCACAAACTCAGGGTTGTCATCTTCCTCCTCCTCCTCTTCATCATCTTCCTCCTCTTCTTCTTCTTCCATGTCATAGTCTACGGCAGAATTCAACAAGAGTTTGGTTCGATTGATCTCGCTTTCATCGTCCAGATTAACGTTGACCTGTAAGAATTTAAATAAATACACACGAGTAAATAAACAAGCAAAAAGCCACAACTTTACAAAATAAATAGAATAAAACAGTGATTTATGATCAGATCACTGACGGCCAACATATGAAGACATTTTCAAACTGAATTTAGATTTTTTTTTTCTTACATGGTAGATAAAGACTTTATTTTAGGGAAATAAAAAAATAAATGTGACATAATAAAACCAAACAAAATAATTTAGTTAATTATTTGAATGAAACAAGCGTTTTTTATTTTTTTAATTAAAAGTGCTTACAACAAAATAAGCTCTAATTGTAGTCATTGCCTTGAAAGTTAAATTAATCATTTGCTATGTTAATGACTACAACCATTTACTTCATTCAGCAGCATTACCAAAAAAAGACAACTGTGCAGGAATGGCTTGAAAAAGCTGAGTGCAGCAGTCCCTGATTTATTGCGGGGGATCCGTACCCTGAAGACCCGCAATAAGTGAAAAACCAGAGTAGGAATAGTAGTACAAGTAGTAGTTTATTTTATATATATATATATATATATATATATATATATATGTACAGGTCATTCTCAAAAAATTAGCATATTGTGATAAAGGTCATTATTTTCTATAATGTAATGATAAAAATTAAACTTTCATATATTTCAGATTCATTGCACACCAACTGAAATATTTCAGGTCTTTAATTGTTTTAATATTGATGATTATAGCATACAGCTCATGAAAACCCAAAATGCCTGTCCCAAATAATTAGCATATTTCATTGCACCAATGAAAGACAAGTTTTTTTTCATTTTTTTTTCATTTAGCCTTTATTTATCCAGGTTAGTCTCATTGAGCCACGAGAACTCATTTTCAAGAGAGACCTGTTTAGGGAGCACATGGTGGGGGTTAAGGGCCTTGCTCATGGGCCCAGAGTGGGGCGAATGAGGGTGGGGGCAAGTGTGGGTATTTCACCTACCCCACCCACAATTTTGATGTTGTCGGGGCCGGGGCGTGAACCGGCGATCTTCGGATCACAAGCCCACCTCTCTAACCTCTGCGCCACCACTCCCCATGAAAGACAAGTGTTTTTAATACAAAAAACGCCAACCTTCAAATAATCATGTTCAGTTATGCACTCAATACTTGGTCAGGAATCCTTTTGCATGAATGACTGCTTCAATGCAGCGTGGCATGGAGACAATCAGCCTGTGGCACTGCTGAGGTGTTATGGAGGCCCAGGATGCTTCGATAGCGGCCTTAAGCTCATCCAGTGTTGGGTCTTGCGTCTCTCAACTTTCTCTTCACAATATCCCACAGGTTCTCTATGGGGTTCAGGTCAGGAGAGTTGGCAGGCCAATTGAGCACAGTAATACCATGGTCAGTAAACCATTTACCAGTGGTTTTGGCACTGTGAGCAGGTGCCAGGTCATGCTGAAAAATTAAATCTTCATCTCCATAAAGCTTTTCAGCAGATGGAAGCATGAAGTGCTCCAAAATCTCCTGATAGCTGCATTGACCCTGCGCTTGATAAAACACAGTGGACCAACACCAGCAGATGACACGACACCCCAGTGACTGTGGAAACTTGACACTGGACCTCAAGCAATGTGAATTCTGTGTCTCCTCTCTTCCTCCAGACTCTGGGACCTTGATTTCCAAAGGAAATGCAAAATTTACTGTAATCAGAGAACATAACTTTGGACCACTCAGCAGCAGTCCCAGGCGAGATGCTTCTGACGCAGTCTCTTGTTCAAGAGTGGCTTGACCTGGGGAATGTTGCACCTGTAGCCCATTTCCTGCACACGCCTGTGCACGGTGGCTCTGGATGTTTCTACTCCAGACTCAGTCCACTGCTTCCGCAGGTCCCCCAAGGTCTGGAATCGGCCCTTCTCCACAATCCTCCTCAGGGTCCAGTCACCTCTTCTCGTTGTGCAGCGTTTTCTGCCACACTTTTCCCTTCCCACAGACTTCCCACTGAGGTGCCTTGATACAGCACTCTGGGAACAGCCTATTCGTTCAGCAATTTCTTTCTGTGTCTTACCCTCTTGCTTGAGGGTGTCAATGATGGCCTTCTGGACAGCAGTCAGGTCGGCAGTCTTACCCATGATTGTGGTTTTGAGTAATGAACAAGGCTGGGAGTTTTTAAAAGCCTCAGGAATCTTTTGCAGGTGTTTAGAGTTACGTCGTTGATTCAGATAATAATAGCTTGTTTAGAGAACCTTTTCATGATATGCTAATTTTTTGGGACAGGCATTTTGGGTTTTCATGAGCTGTATGCCATAATCATCAGTATTAAAACAATTAAAGACCTGAAATATTTCAGTTGGTGTGCAATGAATCTGAAATATATGAAAGTTTCATTTTTATCATTACATTATGGAAAATAATGACCTTTATCACAATATGCTAATTTTTTTAGAAGGACCTGTACATATATACTATATATATATACACACATATACACACACACATATATATATTTATATATATATATATACACACATATACACACACACATATATATATATATTTTTATATATATATACACACACACATATACACACACATATATATATATATATATTTATATATATATACACACACACATATACACACACATATATATATATACACATACATATATATATACACATACATATTTTACATACATTATTTTACATACATATATTATATATATACACATTATATATATATATATATATATACACACATTATATATATATATATATATATATATATATATATATATA